AAGCAGTGGTATCAACGCAGAGTACTAATCTTCGGACCTCCAACTCGGTCACGCATTCACCGTCTACATCAGAAATATATATGCACACTTGTAGCTTTTTTCAATGGCTAAAATTGAACTTTGAAAATGGGCCAAAAAACGAAAACATCGCTTATTTTCGGTCTATCAGGTTATCATCAATTTTCCTCGAAAGCTAGCCCTTGCAGAAATTCTATGAATGTACTTTCGGAGTCTTTTAGTATAGGGTGACTTATGTAAGAGTAGCCCACCATTGCATTTCTTAGAACATGACAACTTTCATTTTCTTAACTTCCAACAATGTAAAAAAATACTGCTACGTTTGAATGTCCGATGTAGGGTATATATGCATGACCAAGTTAGAAGTGAACAGAATTTTTTTGAATGCAAATTCAATTTTGTTTTCAAATTTTTTTTGGTTTTGCTTTCAAACCGCACATGGGTTGAACTTTTTACCGCAACATTCAAATGAAGTCTTGTGGAGTTTGCTTTGCTTTATCGAATGAGTTCTGCACAAATTCATGTACCTGCATTGCTGCGATTTGCAACCTGCATTAACGAACAACCTACCGATGAATTACTATACCTCGATTTGTTTCGCAGTTAAGGGAAGAGTTTGGGAGGCGTGCAAGTGAAACCCGGGCAGGCGACTGCTGCCGCAGCAGCCGCCGGAGCTGCTAAAAAAACCGCTTATGGTACACTATTCACGCTTCGTCGCCTAAGGCCCGTATGCACGTACATCCCCGCGGGAGAGCAGGGGATCTGAGAGGGCAAGCCCATTTTTCTTTCTGAAAAATCAATGAAAACGCTGCAAAATGTACTGAAGATTACTAGATGAAAATTAAGAGATACGAATTAAACCAGCAAACTTGAAAAAATCATATAAAGCAGAGGTTAGCACATCATTGATTTCTTAACTCATTCGATAAAGCAAAGCAAACTCCACAAGACTTTATTTGAATGCTGCGGTAAAAAGTTCAATCCATGTGCGGTTTGAAAGCAAAACCAAAAAAAATTTAAAACCAAAATTGAATTTGCATTCAAAAAAATCCTGTTCACTTCCAACTTGGTCATGCATATATACCCTACATCGGACATTCAAACGTAGCAGTATTTTTTTACATTGTTGGAAGTTAAGAAAATGAAAGTTGTCATGTTCTAAGAAATGCAATGGTGGGCTACTCTTACATAAGTCACCCTATACTAAAAGACTCCGAAAGTACATTCATAGAATTTCTGCAAGGGCTAGCTTTCGAGGAAAATTGATGATAACCTGATAGACCGAAAATAAGCGATGTTTTCGTTTTTTGGCCCATTTTCAAAGTTCAATTTTAGCCATTGAAAAAAGCTACAAGTGTGCATATATATTAGGTTGATGCAAAAATAATGAGCGTTTTTATTTGCTTGCTTTAACAAAGCAACCAGACTCAACCCAACAAAGATTAAGGGGTACTGTTCGATAGAGCAAAACAAGCTCTACAAGATGGCACTCATGCCTTTGCGCCATGCTCGATCCACGGAGAGTTCGAACTCAAAATCTAAAGATTTCCAAATGCCCAAAAAATCGAAAAAAAAATCAGATCTTCGTTCAAATAATTTCTACGGACCTCCCACTCGCTCATATCAATACTATCGATATCTGATATCCATATGTGCGATTGCCGTATTTTTTCCTTGACTAGAAAATGAGAAAACGAAAATTCCCCTGATTTTCTCAAAGCAATGTTGAGCCGTTTTTGCATATGTTGTTCTATACTACAAGCCTAGGTAAGTATAATTGTAGGTTTTCAGCCCATTCCAAGCGGTAGTTTTCGAGAAATGTCGATTT